GCGGAACATTTTTCGCTGAGGGAACCTATGGTCCACCTCTGATCATCGGTGTACCCGAGGTTCGTACAGCGAAAAACCAGTAGACCTGAGGTCCCCACGGGGAAAAATTGTCTCGCGCTGCGAAACGCGAAAAATTCGCTTTCTGTTCTAGTGAACCACACCCTGGGCAGTCTGTCATCGGCCATAGAAGTAGAAGCATGCATTCAGACACACCCTCCGTATATCATAGGATAGCATGCTTAATACACTTTCAATGATTTCTAGGGGTAGTTTATTTGTTTGTGGTTAGTTATATGACTTGCGTGTTTGTTGTAATGTAATGCTTTAGTGTGGTCGTCACATGTGAATGTTATGTGGCTGTTTGTGATAGTCACTTTCACATGTGAACGTCGAACGAAAATTTTTTATTAAAGCATAAAATCACAACAAACCGATACGCTGACGCATAGAAACACATTAATACTTTAACAAACCGTCCACTCCCCCGGAGTCCCCCACGAAGGCCTCCTCGTGGTGGTCCCCCGGCTGCGTCTTCACCTCCGTTTGCGTCGCCCGATGGATCATCGGATTGTCGTGAAGCAGCGTAGGCCATCTTCAAAATATACGGAGTCTGAAAAGAAACCAGTGAGAAAAACTCCTCCATAAAACAAGTGTAACTCATCCAAAATAGAAAGTTATGCCGTAATAGGAACGTCGTAAAAAAAGGAGATAATGGTCTTGAAGAACACAACTGAAAACGAGAAAACGCCCCATATGAATAACGTACACAACAGCAAATTAGTAACAGCTACCCGCAACGTTCACTTTAGCAAGAAACAACTATTTGGAAGCAGCTTGAATAAAACTATATCTATAACATTAGCGTTACCTTTCCATGTGGGCTGACAATTGGGGCATGGTTAACAAGGGCAAGAGCCTCATTTGCCTTTTCGACACTCTCCAATTCCACAAAACCTGATGATGACCTATCACTTCGTCCAATAAAAACTGTCACTGACTTCAGCTCTGGAGCACCGCGTTTTGAAAATACCTGAGCGAATAAGCTTAGAAGATGGAAATCAAAAAGACTGCAGGCTTTCAATAGTGAAAAATCAAATAACCCTGTAAAAACCCGCTCCTATATTTCTGTTCTGCCATCTCCACAGGACTTATAAAAAATGAACAGACTTTTGTAAGCGAAATATAGCGGGTTTCGCGAGCAGCTGCATCTGGTGTTGAGAAGCGCTGTAGAGCTAACATCGAAAAATCACGGAACGCTGAGGATCCATCGGGAAGATCGAATGGGACACTGAATATTTCCCATCTAATCATCCGTTCTCATAAACTCCAGATTAAGGGTGCAGCACACTTACGTTCTACCTATATTTGAATAACTTCGTATAGCGCAAGTTTCTACCTGCCAGACAGAGCAGCGCGACCCCTCAGGGAAAAGAGTGCTTCATCAGTGGAGGGTAGTAGCGCTGCTCTAACTGTCTGGCAGGTAGAAACACAGAGGTATGCTAGGTCCTATGACGCAACCCTTTTTTGTCCCCCCAGAGGATTGAATCAGAGGAGGGGGATATATCCCCTGGGGGAAGGATTGAATACCGCCCCATGTAGTCCGCTTGTAAGTACTTCCAACGCGTAACATCTGCCGATGTCGGACTTTGCGAATCCACCGAATCGCTGGATTCGAAAGTCCGACATCGAGCGATTCGCTAGCAAATCGCTGGAAGGGCAGTCGGGTGTGGTTCACTAGGACAGAAAGCGAATTTTTCGCGTTTCGCAGCGCGAAACATTTTTCGCTGCGGGAACCTCAGGTCCACCGCTGATCATCAGTGGACCCGAGGTTCCCGCAGCGAAAAATCAGTGGACCCGAGGTTCCCGCAGCGAAAAATGTTTCGCGCTGCGAAACGCGAAAAATTCGCTTTCTGTCCTAGTGAACCACACCCTGGGCAGTCTGTCATCGGCCATAGAAGTAGAAGCATGCATTCAGACACACCCTATCCCGTATACTCCATAGGATAGCATGCTTAATACACTTTCAATGATTTCTAGGGGTAGTTTATTTGTTTGTGGTTAGTTATATGACTTGCGTGTTTGTTGTAATGTAATGCTTTAGTGTGGTCGTCACATGTGAATGTTATGTGGCTGTTTGTGATAGTCACTTTCACATGTGAACGTCGAACGAAAATTTTTTATTAAAGCATAAAATCACAACAAACCGATACGCTGACGCATAGAAACACATTAATACTTTAACAAACCGTCCACTCCCCCGGAGTCCCCCACGAAGGCCTCCTCGTGGTGGTCCCCCGGCTGCGTCTTCACCTCCGTTTGCGTCGCCCGATGGATCATCGGATTGTCGTGAAGCAGCGTAGGCCATCTTCAAAATATACGGAGTCTGAAAAGAAACCAGTGAGAAAAACTCCTCCATAAAACAAGTGTAACTCATCCAAAATAGAAGTTATGCCGTAATAGGAACTCGTGAAAAAAAGTAGATAAACTTTGAAGAACACAACGAAATACGAGAAAACGCCCCATATGAATAACGTACACCACAACAGCAAATTAGTAACAGCTACCCGCAACGTTCACTTTAGCAAGAAACAACTATTTGGAAGCAGCTTGAATAAAACTATATCTATAACATTAGCGTTACCTTTCCATGTGGGCTGACAATTGGGGCATGGTTAACAAGGGCAAGAGCCTCATTTGCCTTTTCGACACTCTCCAATTCCACAAAACCTGATGATGACCTATCACTTCGTCCAATAAAAACTGTCACTGACTTCAGCTCTGGAGCACCGCGTTTTGAAAATACCTGAGCAAATAAGCTTAGAAGATGGAAATTAAAAAAATTGCAGGCTTTCCAAGATGGAAATTAAAAAAATTGCAGGCTTTCCAATAGTGAAAAATCAATAACTGCTCCTGTAAGAACACTCGCCTCCCTTATTTTCTGTTCATCCATCTCCACAGGAGCATTATAAAAATGCAGCACTTTTGTAGGAAATATAAGCCGGTTTCGAGCAGCTGCATCTGGTGTTGAGAAGCGCTGTAGAGCTAACATCGAAAAATCACGGAACGCTGAGGATCCATCGGGAAGATCGAATGGGACACTGAATATTCCCATCTAATCATCCGTTCTCATAAACTCCAGATTAAGGGTGCAGCACACTTACGTTCTACCTATATTTGAAATCAAATTCGGAAGGAAACAATAGAGGAAGAACAATTTTCAGCCACAACTACTCGATGTGACGCCATAACAAAACAGATATGGTCATATCTCTTTATGTTGTGCTCAAATTCGGATACATGACGTTGGACGGGATGGAAATCAGACAGCGCAGACAAAGAACCGCCTACTAATTTTTTTCGGGTGAGGTTCGCCAGGAAAAAAGCGACTTTTCCGCTTTTAGCACGCGAAACTTTTTTTCGCTGCGAGAACCCTAGTCCACTCCTGATCAGTGGTGGACCTGGGGATTCCGCAGCGAAAAAAGTTTCGCGTGCGAAAGCGGAATAGTCGCTTTCTGTTCTAGCGAACCACACCCGAATCTTCCATTTCTCGTAACAATGGTTACAGGCCAGGGCCCCCGCACAGCGAGGTGGCAGAAGCGCTGACGGGCCAGTAGACGATTCGCAGCGCGCACTGTGCGATGTGGGACGTACTAGCGTACGCTCCATTAAACTTGACACTAAATGCCTAGGTTGACGGACTACTTGAACTCAGCCCTTTACCGCCTCTGCGCTCTCTAGCGGGTCCCTCTCCTCTCCAAGGCTTAGTCCTAGGGCATTCTCTAATCGTCTGTGCTCTAGCCATCGCGGCAGGACCATTGAGGAAAAATCAAGTAGTCCGTAAACAAATGCCTACAGTGCGCACTGCGACTCGTCCGCTGACCAGTTTGCGTCTCTGCCTTCTCGCCGCGGGACAGAGCGCTGTCGGTTTTTCTGGTGATAAACGAAATTTCCAGAATCAAGAGGAGCTATTCTGGAGTAATAAATCCTTCCGGTGAGCTTCTTCAAACAACGGACCCCATAGAACTTGCCCAAACGAAACCTTCAATATCAAAGACATACGTCACATCCTTCACAGCAGTTTGCATGCTTCGCTTCAGTTGCAGCGTCAATCCAAATAACGTAATCCCTTGCAAATACTTCATAGCGTTATCCACCTACATGAAAAAAAAACAACTTTTCCATGAGTTGAACTCATATTTTAAATATATTTGTAGAACGTACAGCCGTAGGAGTTCCAAGTTCTGCCATTGCTGTGTCTTTCTTGCTAGCTGTAAAACGAATCTGCAAATAAAGATTTCACGCATGAAGGATCAGTACAATTTTGAAAACGCTCACTCTGAGAACATTTCCATATTGACATAACAAGTTGAACAACTTTTCGCAGTTTAACTTCTCTTGGTCGACGCCATAGATCATAACCACGCAACCCTGAACGTTGAATGTTTTCAGAATTCCTAACCGAGCAAAAAAAAATTAATAATCTCACCGCTCCACCGAGAGGAGGATAGTGCGATGAAAGTTTGCAGTCCCCATAATCACCGGGATGTTCCGAAAGTAGAGGACGTAATATACTCCCTGATGAATTAATGGCTGCAATTTAGAAATTTTGAGAAAAATGTCGATGAAAAGTTAACTGACGTCCTGGATATCCTCTAGATGGTCCATTGTAGCAACCATAGCCGCCTTCAATCTGCAAAGACATACAAATATAATTTTGGAATTCGGTGACATATTCGACCGCTACAAGAGTATATAGTACCTGCCGCTATCATCAAATTCAAGCGGGAAATGCTGCACTAATCGGAGAATCAAAAGGGGTATCACAATTGAAACGTTGTCACAGCACTTGTCTTGATCCTCCTACAAATGTATGCGCCCACCTGTGATCCAGGAGATGCATAGGAACTTTCAACGTAGCTGCTGTTTCCCGCAACACCATTTGCAGGATGTCCAGCATTTGGACTGCAGTATGCTTGAGGTCCAGTGGGAGGTTCTATTAAAGGAAAGTGTTTGCCACAAACAAAGTCTTAATTCGAAAGTGAATCGTAAAGATAAAGGATGAAGTATACGCCAAAGGCGAATTTCTCCTTGAATTGCATCACGTGCTTCACTCACAGTGCAATTATTGGTGGGGCTCAGCCGTAACACAAATCATCGTTCACCGATAAGGCTGCTTTCATACATTCGCGCCGGTGCGGTCGGTGCCGACGGCGCCGACCGCACCGACAGTGCGAAGAGCGTCAATACGCGCTCTGGCGCATGACGCGTACGTTGGGCGCAGATGCGCGCTCCGATCGATAATCCTTGGTTTTGGTGTATTTCTTGTCTTTTTCGATGTTTTTTTTGCGCCGTGTTGCTTTTATTCGTGTGTTTTCTGTTCATACTTATTCTTTTATGTCTTGATTATACTTTTCAGTTGTTCCGCGGACGAGCGACTTCGTAGAACCCCGTCGTACTACCCCGTGAAGTGGCTATACCGGGTGAGTTCATCATAAGCAATTTTGTTTATTCGAGTGGACTCTATAATTTTAGAAGTTGCTTTTTCTTCGATACGATTTCCTGCTGGTGTGCGAAAGGCCGCCGGATCTTGGTAATTTAATTATTCGCACACCAGCAGGAAATCGTATCGAAGAGAAAGCAACTACTGGAAACATACAGTTCACTCGAATAAACAAAATTGCTCATGATGAACTCACTGGGTCTTGAAGCCACTTCACACGGGGTTGTACGACGTCGCTCGTCCGCGGAACAACTGAAAAGTACTCATGAAGACATAAAAGAATAAGTATGAACAGAAAACACACTAATAAAAGGAAGACTGCGCAAAAAAAACATCGAAAAAGACAAGAAATACACCAAACCAAGATTATCGATCGGAGCGCGCCATCTGCGCCCAACGTACGCGTCATGCGCCAGAGCGCGTATTGACGCTCTTCACACTGTCGGTGCGGTCGGCGCCGTCGGCGCCGACGGCACCGACCGCACCGATGCGAACTATGAAAGCAGCCTAAGGCCGATGTCATAGTTTGCGAATCGAGCGATTCGCTAGCGAATCGCTCGATTCGCAAACTATGACATCGCCCTAACCCTCCCAGCCAAGTGAATGATGAGTAAGTTTGCTCACCACCACACCATCCTTGCTTTTAGAAAATTCGTAAGCAACAGGAGATATCCACGTACCTGCTCCGGGCAAAAGTGTCTTCCTTTGCGTTCGCGGTCTGGGAGCTTCAGGTCGTTGACCTGAAATGGGATCAGACTGTTTTTGGCCAGAACCACCATGAAAGGGTTATCTTACGTAGATACATAGGTCGCAAAGTTAAGGTTTACGGAAGTCAGGAGAACACTAACCTTCAGGAAGGGTGTAGTCCCACTGGTCTGCATCTTGACGAGTGATCTTCACATATCCCTGCTAAAAGGGGTAAACTATCCATGAATACCCATAGGCGAAGAAAAAGAGGATCAAATTAGCATACCTTCGCGAATTCAACTTTCAATGTACAAGATCCTGAATAGATATCGGCACCATTAATTGCATGCTTTACTTTCCTCGCGTCCTCGGCACTCTCAAACTCGACTAGGGCTTGCATAACGGATTTGCGAACAATTGCTATCCTCACAACTTTCGCATACGGCTTGCAGATTTGATGGAATACCTTAAACTAATTAGTCTATTAATGTAATTTTGGCAACAATATATACTAGGAATGACTAATCATCATCCACAGAATTCCACTTTGAAATTAGTTATAGAACAAAAATGATAATAATCAGTACTAGTAGGCCGATTGAACGTTTCTTTGAACTTTTTCAAAGCATGTTCCCTTGGAAAGGAAAATTGCGTTGCAACAGAACACTCCAATCCCAATTTAGCTCAGCTTTAAAATCATGTACTGCTAGTCGCTTCACCACGTCATTTCTCTGGTTTTTTTGTAAGCACAGGCTTTTGTGCTGGATGGCGCGAAGGAGCAATTGTGGTTAGGAGAGGATTTTCGGAGGACTACACTTCGAAGGGTAAACTTCGCAAAAATGAAAAATGCTCACGCACCCTGGAGCTTCTCCGTTTTCTCCCCCTAAAACGGCGGATTTTACGATGAGGCAGCCCAATGGAAATTAATTTAGAGATGATCAGAGATGCACTAAAGAAGAAAAGACCAAGGGAACACTACTAGATCCCAAAAAACAAGAGACCCATTTCTTTTCCGTTGGATTCCGCATTATGTTTGATGCGATTCCCATCAGTGCTGCACTCTTCAACGCTAACGCTCTCTCTGCTAAACGGCTAGAGCTCAGACAGCGAGAGAGGGCGTACCGCGCCGATAGCGCGCCAATAGCGCGCGGGAAGGCCATGCTAGATCGCCGGGGCATATCCTTCGATGCGAATGCGTGTCGTCCGCACCCTGGAGGTCCGCCTGTCTCTCCACTAAATGAGTTTCCCTGTCTTCGACCTTCCACCTTTGTGGAATCCTCTTGTAGTAGCGCTTTCATATTTAGTTGCCTAATGATGACGACCGAAACGACCGCATAGCATTAGATGCTTATCGCTCTTCCAATCCTATCGGACGTGTCGGACAATCGGACGTCATACGCATCAAATGCTGTGCAATCGTCACGATCCGACGCTGACTGTAAAAGTCCCTCAACGCTCGCTCCAGAACATCTTTAACAATTGAATGAGATTGCCGTGATTTCAAACATTTTAATGGCTCTGCACAGCAATGACCTCTTACTGGAATAGAACCCATTGCTTCCATACTAGTTTTCAAAATTTTTTCCCTCCCCTTCCCTTTCGCTCCTCTAAACCATCCAAGAAACCCCGAACGAATGGTGTACTTTATACGGTACAGGAGAACAATCTCGCAAAAATTGGTGTATACCGAATATGAGCTAATCTCTGAAGGAAAAAATGAAATAAATCTGAAACGTGATACTTACATGAACATCAATGGGTGATTGCGTGTTGTACACAGTAACGACAAGCACTTTGCAGGGGTTCTCTGATTCAAATCCCGATCGTTGCACATTCTGCGAAGTAGAATAGTTGAACAAAGCTGCCTCTCCAGCAACGAATATGAGATTAGACGCCGCAAACGATACACAATCTCGAGCGGCTGAAATAACCGTTATTTTATAATCTGCACATTAATCACTCGAAAACCACAAAAAAAAAATCAAAAACCATGGCATAAAATACCTTTTATATCTTCAAATTCTACCAGTGCCATCCTTTGTGCTGGTACCACAGTAACATATGAAATTAAACCGAACGTCCCGAGTGCTTCTATCAAATCCGCTTCAGTTACCTTGAAATGATGGAACATTTTATAATTGGAGAAAAAAACCAACTTCGACAAAAAAAAACCAACAGCCATGATAAGTTATGGCTACATTTTACTTTTCCGAAAGAATCAGACCTTTGGATGTAGATTGCGGACATGAACCACAGGGGATGGCGCAGGATTCGTAGGATCAGCATGTTCGTTGCGTCGGAACCGTTTCTGCGGCGGCATGCTTAAGGAAAATAAATATGATGAGTAGTATGGAAAATGAAGGAGGCAAACTCAATTGGGTGTAAAAAAGCAAAGCAAGGATGTGCGAATTCAGGTATTTCCGCTTACCTTTCTCTCTCATTTTTCAATTCGGTTGCCATCGATGCGCAGCTCTAAAATACAGTCATACGAAAAGAAGCAATGTTTTCGCGACATGAATGGAATCATCAAGACAGCAAGAAGCACAGAAAACATTGGCAGCGCGAAGAGGATGACTACCGAGATCCGAAATAAACTGGAGTAAAGAAGCTATAGGTACGAATGAGGCTGGCCTTCGTATCGCGCGACGGATCGCGGACTTTGAGACCATCCTAGGGAGCCTACATCGCAGCGTCTGAACCCAAGAAAGTTTTCCAGTATGATGATATCTCATAGATGTAGGCTTAGTGCCTTCTGATGCGACCTGGTGACACACGTGTACAGGTAGCATCAAGTGCATAGATCACATGCTATCGATATTTTCGGGACCGTCGTCAGGTGCGCAAGAAAACATGACGTGTCTCGCCGTGGGCAGAAGAGTGTAAGCACATGATCAAGTTAAGGACTCCGACATGCATGAGCGATTTTTATTTTCTTAGCTATGCGTTGTTAATTCAATTGTTTCATCATTTTTGCACTAGAAATTACAAAAAGGGGTGCACGACGCCGTAAAAGGTATGGGTAGGGTGAGCACTGGGTCGAGGAAATGATCGCGGCACACGAGCCTCTGACGGAGGTATGGTTAAGAGCCAAAACCCACTAATAGCATCAGTACAGGGTCAGGCACTATCACAAAATACGGGGCATCTTCAGGTGTAAACTCTGGGAAGGTAGGAACTTTGGGGAAAAGGAAAGACACTCATCCTAGAGTTCTCCTTCCCTGCCTAGAGCTTTGCTCCTTTTGACCACAGGGGGATGCTTTACACGATTTTAACTGCATTGCCACCACAATGCCCCATATTTTGTGATACCCTAGTGTCGCTTGATCCTGTCCACACTTGACACATTCACAAACTTCGCACCCGAACCTCCCCTAAATTGACGTCGAGTGGGAAGAGCTGAAGTCACAGTTTAACACCGAACTTTTTACGCCACCGTTCCCTCACTCATCCTCCCACGCACCGGGACAAATACAACCTCTCAACTTATTTAATAATAACAAAATATAAGAATTGGCTATGAGACGTAGCCGTTGAATTTCCCCACAAGATTATGGGTCGTATGCTATCCTCCCCTAAGGGCGCACGCATAGTCGGTCGGACGACAGCAACGATCGTAACTGTCGCACAGCATTGGATGCGTATCGATCGTCGGACTTGCCTGAGTATTCGACGATTAGATGCAGTTAGACAGTCAGACAGTTGCGATCGTTGCTGTCGGACGACCGACTATGCGTGCGCCCTAAGGGGTTGGGGACGAAAATCCCTTTAAATTTTCTCTGTCTTCCCAACTGGGATTGCCCTGATAAAGGGCCTACATTTAATGTATGTATGTAGGTAAAGTAAACATGCACTGAAAATGAAGAAACTACATCGTTCAAAACAAATAAATTTAAGGAAACTTTGAATCACCAAGCTTTGGGAGAAGTAGCATACGGCCCTATAGCTCCACGCGACAAATACTAGAGGTTTGCAAAACGACAGCTTCGAAAAGTGGCGCAAGCAGACAAATGAAAAATTGAAAACGGGAAACAGGGGAAGCTCGTGATTACCTCGCTGCGCAATATGCGTAGCGTTGAACGTGTTTAAGCATGTTCGGCAGGGTTCACATATCTTATAAGACTAAACTTATTTTATTATCTTTAAAGACTCAACTTATTCCTCTGAACGGAACGAATAGTGACCTGGAGACAGGGCGATTAACCTATTCCACTAGCGGTGCACATCGATTATTCTACCCTGCCCTATTCCGTTTTCGGAGATCGGACGATCCAGGGAAATTTGAGTTTGCACAACTCCCTCCTACAGGGTCTAGACGCTCGTGCCCTGAAGGGAAAGAAAGTCTTTCAAAAGAGCCGATGGCAGGTGAAACTAGGATTGAGCCCAGCACAGGGATAAACGCCAGGGAGAACGTATGTTGCTCACATGCTGTCCTAGGATCCCACCCCTCCCTAGGGCGTAGGCCGGTAATTGGCTCACTTACATGGATGTCCCTCGGTCATAAGCGCCGAGATCTATGTATCTCGACACCAGTTCGACCTCCCTCTACTCTAAATGCAGACTGTCTACTTGTCTATCAGCTTTCTCAGATCCCAGACGCAGGAAAAGGGAGGCTCTAGCGTGTCAGTGGTGAAACTAGTCAAATATCAATAGGGAACACCGTGCTGTGCGAGTCGGGTGTGCAGCCCCATTCTCCGGACACGGCGGAAGCTCAAGTATATACTTGGAGACTGGGTTCGACGGCTGTGACGTCGAGAGACGCCGTGGAAACCAGTAATCACTATCCCTTCATTGCCTATTACAGCTTTGATGCTACTTCTTGCTCAATCGATAGAATATATATACACTCCATGGACTAAGCCAACCGTATCCAAAGAACCGGCGGGCCCACTTGACTGACATGGCAGCGAGTCCTCTTTGAAAAGCACTTCAGTCTCCAACCCCCTCCTCCATTAGGTTATCGTCCATTCTCCATTGTTCAAGAGAGTGGGGGAGGGAGGAGACAGGTCCTACTTGCTGCAAAAGAAACCAGAAATCTATCAACCGGTCGGCAATTTTCAGAGCATGAAAGGCTGTTTTCGAGTACGATTACCTGTAGCCTTCCCCTCCACATAGGAAGTCCTGGATAGGAGTTTTATGTAAATCTTCCTAATAGTGTTGAAGGTAGAGGTTACGTTGATCCCGAAATGGCCAACGCAGTGCCCACCCTGCTCCCAATACTATTCCTCTTTCACAGGTCATATACGACCCCTTTTTCCCTTAACCATGGCTCGTGCGACATGAGCGAGTGCTATCGAGCAACGGTTAACATTTTTAAGAACGATTATTAAGAACCTAAAAGAAGAAGAACGCAGTTTAGATGAGAAAACAAAGCAAATGGCAGATATCTTCGACTGTAGCACAAAACATATAGTATGGGAACGGCATGAACTTCGTTTTGCACATTTATTACTTAGAAAAGGATGCTTATTAAGAATCGAGATGGCACCGAAGATCGACACAACAACTACGTTGTTAAGAAGTGTTAAGCACATCTAAACAGTTCACTATACCAGTCCTGCGAAAATAGGTAGACAGGACAAGATTGAATAACATAGCTGTAAGGAAGCAAGTGATGGCTTAATTACATAGCAACATTCACAACAGTGCAAGAAACAGCTGTACAACAAACTGGAAACATGTCAACACAAAAAAATGTGAGGAACTAACACAAAGCACAATATTTGTCAATTGAAAATCAGATCAAACGGAATAAATATAGTGCAAAAAAGTAAACTAAGCCAGCAGAATCTAGAACTAGGGAGCAGCATGAGCACATCAAACTGCTCCAACTTCATTCAGTCATGCTACAAATTTTCTATTACTTTTTTGTAACAAGTAATGCCAATGAAATATTTATGCAACTTCATTTCATGGAAACTGATGAACAGCTGTACAACTGAACTATGATAGTGAGGTGCAGAAAATGTGAGATTCCATGGATGCACTCGTATTTGATGACTAGAAAGCTGCGTAGTTGCACAAGAATGCTGAGTTGTGAACAAAACTTTTGCCCCTAATGGGACTCGAACCAAGCCAGCATTCTTGTGAAACATTCGCAAGGCGAACTGCGGCCAAAAACAGCAGTTAACAATCAAAAACGAACGTAGTTGCAATTGCTCACAACGGGGGTGTGCTCATTAATCGCTGTCGGACTCATGCTCCTCATCAGGAGCATCCTTCAGAAGTTCCAATACATGACTCACTGCTTTCGGACGACCGTCCTCTCCAATGGTGCCGGGCTTCACCAACACTACAATTTCAAGTTTTTCATAAAACAAAGTATCCTGAACTCATAGAGCTTTGTGGGTAATTTTTACAGTCATATGAATGTTTACGACAATGAAAGGAAAATTAGTAAAGAAGTGGACTGGAAATTCCTGTGAATTGAGAAAATCTTTGCTAAATCACGGCATATTCGCCCACTCTGGCGGGTGTAGGTTTATTCGTAATGCTGATATATTGTACGAAGTTATACCGGATAGAGTTGGGAGAAGGGCGAAGCATAATGGAAGTTGAATGAGGAGTGGGTTGCGTAGAGGATGATGCGCGTTCCAACTGTCGTCGAAGTGGTTTAAAAGATTTCAGTTTTGCAAACCTAATCCTGATTAAGATGGCGGACTAATTCAAATCCACATGAAGCGTTGCTTTGGTCGTTTTTTGGATATGCCCCACGACCGACCATAAGCCGGATCTTTGAAAACATATCACCTGCCGCAACCTTCCTCGCCCCCCCTCGCCCATAAACTGCCGCTATGCTGAAGGTGGTAGGGATGGGTGAACGTTGGGGAGGTTCGTCGCAGGACCCTTCTGGGCAGCTGTCGCACCTTCAATATTGCAGCTCTGTTTGTATTCTTTCATCGCTGCTTTTGGTATGAAGAAAGATATTTACGTGCGAATATACAATCAGAAACAGTAAAAGGGTGAAAACAAAGCTGCAAAATCAAAGGTGCGACAGCTGCCCAGAAGGGTCCTGCGACGATAGCCTGCGGGCTAACGGGTGTGCAGCGATGGCGCGCGTCCCCTACCAATTCAGCATCGGGCCCCTTGAACATGGCACCGTGACCCCGTATCCTGCCCAAAACCCAACTAAGCCTACCTAGGCTGATTAGGTTAGAATAGATGTAGAGCAAGTTAGGGGCGGATCAGGGTCAGGTTGTTGATTAAGTGGTGACGGAGGGTAGGTCTGAGGAGCCAGCTTATGTTCAGCATAGGGCATTGCCTTGCAATTTCAGTGATTCAGACGATTTCTGCAATCCCAGAAAAATTTTACCAATCGCGGGAATCGCAGTTGGTAAACTGGTGCGAGCCGCTTAAATTCTAAAGTCTAACATCGACCTTACAAAACTCATACGAGCAAAGAATGTAACTGTAGGGTCACGCGTTGCGCATTATATTCAGTGGTGTATCACAATGTGTTGCCTATGACGGCAGTCCACATTAAACGCAATCAACACAACAGTGAAAGGAATGATATAATAATTTTAGGGAAATCAGTAGGTAAGGAGTCGACGGAGAGACAGTATAAAGAACAAATACAACTATTTTCAAATTCTCGGTTCTGTGAACATAGGAAGGAGGGACATAATTTTGAGACTTAACAGTTATAAGATAGCGTCACAGTATGTATCTTTTTCTACCGGAAGAGAGGAGCGAGGGGTCAGTCGCAGTATCCGTCACGGATTTATTCTAAAAAGAGATTCAATGAAGGAAAAGAATGTCTCAAAGCCATCTATCCACAATTCTAACCTGTCTTCAACAGCTTTGTAGTCTTCTGTTTCTGAATCTTCACTGTCCGAAGCGCTCTTAGGAAGATTTATTTGCCCAAGAAGACCGCAGTTAGCTAAGAGGGGTGCGGGGCGGGAGAGGATGAGTCGGAGAGACCGTGTATTTTGATGAGCCGGCATCACTAAAAGAATCAAGATTGCGTTTCGATTATGTTGAGAGTTGTCTGGAATACTGGACTTGCTGCGTAGACGGAACAAATTCCGTAAGCAAGGGTCTTTTCGGAGAATGCAGGGCTCATCATCACACGAACAATCTTATTTCTGAGAGAGTCACCCTCGTCAGGACGACGAGCGACATCAGCTGCCACGAGTGGGGGTAAAATCTAGATTTGCCAAGAATCTAGCAAAGGCAAACAAAAAGTGGAAATGGGGAAATGGTCACAAACAGTTGGGATTGATCGACTTCTGAATGACAAATTGTATTTAGGAGTGATGAAAAAGATTGAATAGAATCACTTGACCAGATTTAAAGCATATTCGACTTCAGTAACATAAAAGTTAGGGAACATTACCTCCTTTTCTTGGATAAATGTCACTTTGAAAACAGTGTTTGCTCCGTTCAGAAAGTACCATATAACAGACAAAAGAAAGATTCAATGAACATCATAAGCTCACCTTGAGTCTGCAATAACGACGAGCTTCCTTGCTAGCCGTGCAAAGTTTCAGAGCGGAACCCAAATATGTGCTCAGCAAATCGGAATCGGAGTTGTTGTTCTAAATATGCCATTACATGACAGTAATACCGAAACACCTGTCAGAAGCGCTTGGGCAAGCTTGCACATCAATACACTCCTTTAGATACTCGAGAATACGGAAAAAAAAGTTCAACTACAGCGACCCATTGCAATTTTACTAGCCATACGTACTCTAGATCTCTTCCTACTCTCCTTGCTACGGGGTCACAACCTTCAGGAATGGATGTCCAGGCACAAAATGATATACTCTGTAGGATTGTTACTACGACCATAACATCTTGTTAGATATAATGCTGCTTCGTATCCTTGACATCTGAGCGGTCGGTTTCCCTTGTCACTTTCCTCAGCTCCGGGGCGGCTGAAGCACTCCGCGGGAAAGCTGAGGGGTTATCTTGCGGAGAAACAACCAACAAATAGAAGGACAGACTTACACAACCACGTACCTACAATCCAACACCCTAAGTGAATGGTTTACATAATAGGAGGCTTAGCTGGAAAAGTTTGAATAGGAACACTGACTAGCAAAGACCAAAAGAGTACAGCAACTGACATAGATTGTAAAAACTTACGTCATCAAGTTTTCGCTCCATCGCATCCAAGAGAGCTTGAGCAAATGACATGTCATAAAGGTCGTACTGCTCTGTGTGTCCATCGTTACCCGAGTTCATCTGAATATAACAAAAATAATCGATGTTTGTTGGAACTGTGTGGTCCCCAATGGCTGTTAGTTTATTTTGGGCGTCGAATTCAAACATTTGACAGCTCTTATTTTAGAGTTTCGTGACAGCCACGTGTGTTAGATCAGCGGCTCGATTTAAATTATTACACATAAGCTTTCGGTATTTAAACTTCATATGAAGGATGATGTAAGGAACTGAAAAAAAAAGATCGACGAATGATGAAGACGAAAAGAATTGCCTTTCTTGTACAACAGACTGGTCTCTACTTCTGGGATTTATAAGACCCACTTTCTTTTGAAGCCAACAGGCTCTCCCAAACGGAATTCATGAGAAGAGGATCCAATTTCGTGGACATTGGGCCGGTTCTCTTGCTTTTTTTTTCTTCACCACTGTAGCTTTAACCATTCCTGCTTTCACCTCCACGGGGCGGCCACTTGATTGTACTGTCTGCCTTCAATTCGGGGCACTAATCATGACCTTTTTCAACTGAAGGTCTAGCAGAATCAAATCATGGAGTCACATCAATGAAATTGACAGCTAATTCTGTATTTCACAATTTCAATCACTAAGTTTGTCTCCAATTTATTATTAACCTGATTTTTTCCAAATTTATTACCACACCAATAAATATTCCAGTAACATTTGGCTCTGTTCGATAGGCCTCCATGGCGTCCTCGATTTGGGAGAGAGAGAAAGTTGATTTGGGAGGAGGAAGAAAAGAAAGGGAAGAAAATGCTTTTTGGACCACATCCAAGTATGACATAACTACTAACTGTTTTCGTTCATATTGAGCGGCTCACTAGTGACAGTTACAATGGGTTTGCAAAAGCCGAGTCCTACCTAGAGAATTACACGTACGCTAGAGGATGAAGATTTTCTTCCAGATTATCTAACAACTTATTCCAACTTATCTATTCTGAAAAACTCAGAGGGGTGAAAAAATCTCATGAACACACCTTGGGACAAAGCATGTTTATGTTGAGCTTCAGTGTGGACAACAGATTCACAGCATGCTGTTCCATGGCCGGTGAAGAGTGCTTGCCTTTCACTAGCTTGCACACAATTTCAGTGATTTCATTGGTGAATTGCTGAAACACTTGAGCTCACGAGAAATGTCATTGAAACCAATAACCAATGCCATATCAACAAACCTCATCGAGCTGATCGGGCCTTTTGTATGTGATATTGAAAAGGACTTTAGCAGCTTCCCCAGCACGTTCAGATAATACACCTAAGCGACTCGTAGCTTTTTCTGGCTCGATTTCTTCAAGGTCATCCGCAGCAGTGATGTATTGACGGATCACGTCGAGGAATGTTTTGAGAGCAAAAGGGGAATTGCCCCAGTTCGACTAAAGTATAAAAGTTGCAAACCATTCAGTGATAAGTGAAAAACCTTACCCACTTTCTTACCAAATTATGAGCAGAACTTACCTGTATCGATGGCGAATGTGCAGATGTCAAGAAAGCAATACGTAAATCAAACAGCCAAAGCGAATTTCGTGAATCTTCAGGCACTTCATTGATCCATTCATATCGACCAGAATAATTTGCATTAGTGAAAGCCGAAATACGCTCGAGTAGAAATGGAATCGCTTCTGCCCTAAAGCTCGAAAACGAGAGATTCACAGCATGTGAGAATGCTGATATTTCAGCTTCAATTATTCGACATCAAGGAACGAATTCTCAGGAAAGGGTAAGGACGTAGCAAAGATGGCGAGATTTTATTAATCAAAGATATATAATACCTTACTTCGAAGAAAGATAGCAAGAACCTGAGAACATGAACTTACTCGAAGGTATGTCGCATAACACTGGAATTGAATAGTGTATTCACCAAACACTTATCTGCTTCAATGACATCTAAAAATGAGCTGTTATGAAAGAGACTGAAAAACTGACTTTGTCAGAAAACATGAAGCTTTCTAACCTATACATATTCACTGAAACCATAAAAAATAAATTTGAAAAGATAAAGGATAAAAGGATAAAGCATTTGCCGTTGATCAATCCCTTTTTGGGATGCGGCACGCATTCTACTTCCATTTGTACATTCGTAGTGGCGTTTGAATGCGATGTGGCCTATACAATGACTTGCGGGGGCCAGCCGATGTACAAGTCAGTGTTTTTATCCTCCCAGACAAGTCTGGTACCAATTAACCGACCCCGGAGGGATGGAAGGCTTGGTTGGCCCGGGCGACTCACGACCCAGGATTTGATCCCCGGACCGCTCGCGTGGTAAGCGTGCCACTTGCCACTACACCACTTCCGCCCTACCTAGAAACATAAAACTGCTAAATGAATAATAAACACCTGATCCAGTGATTTAGAATTGAAAATGTTTTGACCGACCCTCTAAGCGATTTTAACCCATTCGCGACCGCGCGGATTGCGCAATAGCAGGAGAGTCAGGAGATTTTTCTTCAATAAAATTTGAGTGGATGGAGATTTCCTGCCCAAGGCTGGCGTAGATGAATGAGGGTATGAAGATTCTTTTCAGGAAAGAAAACTTTCCAAATTCCATTTGAAACACGGCAGCCACCGGTGGATACCATTGTAC